GAGAGAGGGCCAGGGTGACGGTGAACAGCACCACTGGCACCTCTCGGAACGGCAGGCTGTCGGGAGGGAGCTCTTCAAATTCCGTGATATCAAATCGCTACATAAATTTTACCAGAACTGTACATCCTCCCAGTACCCTGACTGCAGGTCAAGATTTTTTCATCTTGTACTCGAAAAGAACATATTTTAACTTAGACCAATATTTGCTTTAAGAGCTAAATGAAATAAAAAACCAATAACTTGATGTCCAGATGAAATCATGAGTATGAATTCTGTTCCTCTTCCTATTTGTGTTTTGAAAAAATGCCTTTCCATAAAGTGGGTGAACTTTGGCTACATTAATGAAATGTAAAACCTGACAAATCCAAAGGGGATGGAGGAAGTTGACATACATTTTAATATGGGGATAGACAGTTCATTTTAACAGGTGGAGATGATTCTGGCTTACAAAATTACCTGCGTGAACCATGAAGGCTTAACCAGGCCCTGTGTGGTGACCACCAGCACTGTCCTCTGGAGTGTGAGTAGCGCAGCTCAAGCAGGCCGCCGTGCCTACCAGTGCTCAGACAACGTGCATAGGAAATACAGGGGAGATGAGCCCCGTTAGATATGTATTTTTTAATACATTTCTATTTGAAATCTCTTTGGCAAGACTGGTCTTTTTTAAAAATGTACTAGAGGTTTTAAAAATTGATGTTGGTTATCTATCATGGATGTTTTGAGGCTGAAAGATGTCTTGGAAAGAATTTTAGTCCTGTCCCTTCTGAATTAGTTTGTGTTCTTGGGTCTCAGGTGGCAGACACTGATTCCAGCTCAATAAAGTGGGAACGATTTTATTGCAAGGAATTAGGTAACTACCTGAATTTGGGAAGAACCCGGCTCAGATGAAAAAGACAAGGCATGAGTTCCCTGAAAGCATCAAGGTACAAAAAAGCTAGTGGAGACTAGCCACGCTGTCCCGGCCAGTTTGACTGACCTCTGACAACTTTCGTTGTGTCCTTGATTCAAAATCTAGGAGAGAGGCCAGTGGCTTCATCTGGATCACTCGCCCCCTGCTGGGCCAAGGAGTCTTTGAAATGAAGACCCCACCAGAGGATGCACAATGTGGGCCGCCATTTCCAGCAGTTCCTCAGGGAACCACCCCTTCTGGGGGTTCCTCAGGGAGCTGTTCCCTCTGAGGGTTCCTCAGGGAACTGCCACCTCTGGAGGTTCCTCAGGGAGCTGCTCCCTCTGAAGGTGGCCCAGGTCCTTCCAGAGCACCCTGCTCTGCCAAGGGAGGGATAAAAGTCTGGGGGGAGGTGGGTATTGTTTTTCTGTCCACGTGGGATTAGGACGGAGCAGGCCTCCTGATTAGTGTTTATCTTCATTGTTTAAAGTCAGTGTTCTAATTTTTTAGTTTTCAAGTCATTTTCTTTATTTTGCAACTAAATGCTTTCTTCACTCAGAGGAAAGCATCAGCAGCCACGGCGCAGACATGCAAAGGGAGCAGCCCTTATCTGAAACGAGGCTGGATTTCCAGCCCCTTGCAGATCTCCTATACTGCCCCCCAAAACTGCCCATTGGGGTGTCCCTTCAGGACCCGTGAACTCAAGTTATCTCAAACCAAGCTCATTGTCTTTCCCCAACCTGGTCAGCCTTCTGTGGTCCCCTCTTTAGCAAGTTACAGCTCCCCAGGACCGAATCCAAAACCGTGTTGTTGTGCTGGTTCCGCCCTTTCCTTCACCCACAGCGTCCACTCAGCACCAAGCTGTCCATTCGTCTGTCTCCTCAATATGTCCTGAGCCCACCTACTCCTGTTCACCCCACCTTTCCTGCAGCCCCAGCCCCCTGGCCCCATCTTCCCAGGACCACCAGTGTCCATCTCTCCTCCGCCCTCAGCCTTACTCTCCTCGCAGCGAGTCTCTCGGATCAGATGTGAATCTCAGAGACACAAGCTCAAGGATTGAGCAAAATTGAAAGTCTTTATTTTTTCATAACTTAATTTTAATTCCTGGCCCTGAGCCTTGATCCTCCCTAGTGTAAAAATCCAATCTTGTCCCCGCAGGTAAAGTCAGTCCAATTCAGTGATTTCTCAGGTTATTCAAGATTCAAACCTCTCTCTCCCACACCCTATTTTTCTGAATAGAAGCAACCGAGCACTGGTGCGGGGTTACAGGACCGTGGAGGTGCTAGATTTAGCAAATAAAACTACAGGACATACACTGCAATTTGAGTTTCAAGATACTTTCAAAAATGTGTCCTGTGCAATATTTGGGGTATACTAACACGAAGATATCATTTGCTATTTGCCTGATGTTCAAATTTAATGGGGTATCCTGCTCAGTATATCCCGGCAACTCCAGCCTGGGGGGTTGTCAGCATCTACTTTCAGATCTTGATCGAGGACCTTGTGATGCACACAGAACTTGCATGTGTAGCATCTATTCTTCTCAGCTAACGTAACTCCAGCTTTTCTTTGGGCAGCCGTGTGCCTAAGAGCAGGCAGGGCATTTGGAACCAAGGTGGAGACCCACTAGCAGGTGTCTTTCCCAGAGAAAGACACAGTGGGTACCACCCACTCTCTCCTTTCTTCTTGCCTTGAAGGTGGACATGCTGTCTGGAGCTGCAGCAAACCTCCAGAGACCAGCCGGGGGACAAGCATGAAGGAGAGATTAGATGGTCCCAGAGGCATGGACCTTGAATTTGCCAGGTCACCAAACACGGGCCAGCCCCTGCCTGTGTTAGGCTTCTTATGCTTTCGTCTTACTTGCAGTTGGATGCATTCCAAGCAGCCATTTCTCTCTGCACTGGAAAATGCTGGTCCACCTCCTTCAGTAGCCTCCCACCCCAGCCACTTATGCTCAGAGTCACAGCTGTGCCCTCCTGTCCCCAGAGGGCAGCCCATACAGTACCCCCTTGCTGTGACCCGATGACATGATGGTAGAGTTACCAGCCATCTCTTTCCATTTTGTGACCTACATGTTGCCGACCAAACTATTATGACGTTCCACTCGTACCATTCGGGGTGATGGGGAACTGTAGGCTGGTTCTGGGCCTCTTCTTCCGAGAAATCCCATACAGTGACTTCTGCTACCTTGACTTTGTATAGAAGGAGATTCCAGGGAGGACACGGCTCTTCACGACCTCCTTCTCCATAGTTCTCTGCTCACCTGGGGCATGGGGCAAACAAACACCTGCTACTGTTTTCTCTCTTCCCCATTTCAGATTTAGGGTCTCATACAAAATGGTGGCTTCTGACATTTTGCCCTAGGTAGGTGATATCCTCTGATGGACTACACCTATCACAGTGGGGAAACTTCATCTGGCTGCCAGTAGGGAGGGAGCAGGTAAGTGGGATTCCCCCCAGATTTTTCTAGAATGCATTCTCATCATTCTCCTGACTCCACCCTTGACTTCCCTTCTGACTTGGAGTCCAAGCTCCACACCATGACTCTGACCCTTTGTTCCGGGGCATCCTGCCCTTTTGTTTTTTAAACTTCTCTCTCACCAGTCCCCTTCACTGTTCTTTTACCTGACCATCTACTCAATAGAATTCTCAGCAGGTGGGACTCAGGCATTTGGGTTTCCATGTTTGTTTTTAAAATCTCTATGGGTGAATCTATTGCTAGTCAGGAGCTGAGAATCGATAGTGCAAGACTTCACATTTCACATACATAATTTTGTTTGGTTCTTAGAAGAATTCTGTGATGTAGGTCAGGTGTATATTCATGTCCACATTTTATAAATAAGAAAAAAGGTTAGGTAGAATGGGGTTCAACTTTGGGCGTTCTAACTTATCGTAAGCTCTTTCCAACCCCACTGAAATTTTTGTTGCTATTATACTATTAGTGTTACATCATATCAGTTGTTCTGTTTGTCTCCTACTTAAAAAAAAAATAAAATAATTAGTAGAAAGTTCTATTGGTCTCTGATTGTCATTTAGGGACGAATGATCCACCTGTTACCCAACATCTGTGTTTATTTCCCGTAGAGCATTTTCATGACTGGAAATTATTTGTTTACCTGCTTGTTGATTGTGTTCTGCCACTAGAATACAAACTTTACAAGGGCATTGAAACTGCCTAAAACAGTACCTGACACTTAGCAGGAAACTCAATAGTTATACATTGACTAAGTCAGTGGAGGATTCATTTGTTACCTTACCTCCTTGCATATGATTTATTACTAAGTTAGAAGTGAATTATTAATCTAACAAACCATTAGCTTAATCCTACCTGAAAATTATTTAAAAATATATTTAATAGATTTCATTAGACATTTCCTACAGAATAAATGAGCGAACGAATGAATGTTCATAACATACAGTGAAAATAATATAGAATGTGCATTTTTTATATTGAATGACATGTTTAAATTTTGCTTGGCTTATTTATTGTTTTGTCTTGGTGGAAGGCTAATTTATCAAGTATTTTTGGATACCATCAATTGCTATGTCCAAATGTTTGTGTCCTCCATGTATGTTGAAATCCTAACACCCACAGGTGCTGGTATTTGGGGAGAGGCTCAGTTCATGAGGGAAAACTAGTACCTTATAGAAAAGACTCCAGAGGGACCCCTCAGCCCTTCCACCATCTGAGGTGCCAGCTGCGAATCAGGAAGAAGGCCCTCACCAAAAAGTGGTCATGCTTATGCCTTGATCTCAAATTTCCAGCCTCCAGAATTGTGAACATTACAGTTTTATTGTTCATAAGCTACTCAGTTGGTAATATTTTGTTATACCGCCTGAACAGACTAAGACATCAGCCAACTCGCTTATTTATTCTTTTCCAAGGGAGCTCAGCTCTGGAACTAATATATTTATAATGTAGTTTCATTAAAATTACTGTATTTAGATAGCTCCTGGCATCTTTCATTAAGCTGAAGATGTTCAATTAGAAGTGATTGAAGCAAAGGTAGTTGTCGGTGAGGGAAAAAAGGCAGCGTGGTTTTTTGTGAGAGGACAAAAACACTGCACGGATTTAAAGGATTAAGTAACATTATGATCTAATTCCTATTCCCAGTTACCGGAACTCGTACAAGAAGAACATCTGTGTGGACATGCTCCGAGACGGCTATCACAAGTCCTTCACGGAGCTCTTCGCGCTGATGGCCAAGTGGGATGACCTGAGGGAGGCTGCCAGACGTAGGTCCGTCTTCTGGTTGCAGAGACCCCTGGAGGAGCAGCCAGATAAACTGGACCACCTGTACCACCACCTGACCAGGGCTGAGGCAGCTGAGAGGAATGGTGAGTGAGGGAGCGTGGGCAGGAGCACCCGAGAGCCAGCAGAGCCAGGGCCTGAGGGGAGACTGAATTGCTTCGTGTATGAATTTGAAACATGAAGACAACTCAGGGTCTTTGTGGAGTAACTGATAGGGGATGTGAGTCATGAGGCTCCCCAGACATGGGGGGAGGGGCGGTGAGGGGCCTGGTGATGTCATCAAAGCCAGGAAACACAATGCATAGCTCCTAATAATATTTCCAGAACTTTCTAACATGCTAAAATCTCTAATATCAGTAATGATTAATTAAATCCTTCCATAGTATTATATAAGCATAACCTGAATATTGACTTTCACCGAGGAGATTCTTTCAAGGAGTACCGTAACTTGAAATTATACTGATTTTCTAGCATTTACAGAATGGCATTGGAAGGTGGTTATTTTGAATCATCAAGGAAAGAAAGGAAATCCTAGAAATGAATATTTAAATTTGATATTCTGAATCATTCTTTCCTTCAACTTTTTGGGTGAAAAGTAGCACAGGACTCAAAGAGAGAAAAGCTCAGGCCCCAATATGACGATGTCTATTTTTCAATTCAGGCCTTTCTATGGGAAAAATAAGAGTTTTAGATGACTGTTTATTATCTAATGCTACAGTGGGGAAAGTTCATGGGGCCTTGCAAACTGAACCAGAAGGGTAGCAGAAAGTCTCTAAACGTCCCTAGTGGAGACAGGACATATTTGCCACCAGATTGTGTCTGACTTAATTAAGAACATGAGATACAGAAAAATCTGAGCCATTGAACTGTTCTGTGTGTGTGTACAGGAGGTCACGTTTGTATTATGAAGAGTGTTTAACTGCCTAATTGAGTTCAAAAATAGAGTCCTTTGGTGAATTTTATAATGTGAGTTGCATATAATTTCTGAAGAAATTAACTGTTATAAACAAAAAAATGCTATTATAAAATACCTACATTCTACTATCAAACTCAATTTCTGAAATGATATTTGCACTGAAAATAGAATTGATGAGGATAAAATTTGCCCATTATTCATTTTTCCAAGCTGAATTCATTTTATTCACTAAGTGTTTTAAATAGAGCCTTTTCATTTGAGTAGCATAAATATAAGCCAAATACATCACTGTCACAGAGTGTCATAAATATGAGAAACTTGTCATAAAGCATTTTGTAATTATAAAGAAACTGAAATGCTAAATAGTCTATTTCAAGGAAGAAAACATTTTAATTTATACTGTTACATTAAAGAATAGTAACTATACATATAAACAAAAATGTTTGTCTAATTCCAAACATGAATGAATTCCAAACTTTATAATAACTAAAGTCTTATAGAATGGTATAATTAGAGGACATATTTTCTTTACTAAGTGATTTCCATATATTCATGGTAAGTAAGGTTGTATTTATAAAGTGTCCCTGATATCATTTCTTACATTATCCATTTATAAGATATATCTGTATTGTTATGATCAGTGTGTTGTGCCCCATGAGACTGGGGAAGAGATGATAATAATGATACTGGGTAACCCCATCAGTAGAAAATTCAAATATTATTTACACTTGACTTTAAATTATTGTCAAGAGTAAAGCAGAAATTTCTTTTTCTTTTTGTTTAGTATATCCAAAATATGTTGTTCTCAGAGTTCACAGCATGTTTTTAGGTTTTATACAGAGCAAAACAAAATTAATTGGTGAAATAAGTTTGAGAAACACCAAGTGAATTAATATTGGCATTGAGCAGCTTAGTCTATTGCAGGACTTGTCAGGACCTTTAATGTGCTGGTATGTCTTGTCTGTTTCAGTGAAAAAAGGAAATTAGCAAGAACATTTCCTAAATTAATTTCACCATAGAATCTTCGTTTAAGGTAGTGTAATGAATATTGATCTAAACAAACAACAATAAGATTGATTTTCATGTTCGAAGTATACTGCTGACAGTACAAGAAAGTTACCTACAAATAAGGATAAAAGTCTGTTTAGAATATTAAGGATGCAGGATATATATTAAATTGTCCTGAAATACATTCCTTTATGTTTAATATTCTGAAAGCATTCCGTTTTCCATAGGTTATAGAGCTTAACTGACAAGTATTCTTTAAATATGGAATCTTAATAGCTTATATAAATATAGGTATTCCCCACTTTTTGAAAATATCGCACTTCACTTTTACAAAAGGCTTTTTTTTTGATGACTGGAAAAAAATATGAAGAGGATTTTTACAGCAAAAGACAAAAGTGAGAAAATCTTATCTCCTTTATTTACATTATCTTTTTTGCCATTGCTTTCCCTGGAATTTAAATTCTTTTCGAATCTTTAATAGAAAATATACTTGGTGATGTCCCATATGCATTGTTCCAAAAGGAATAAGCACATTGCTGGTGTCATTATCTTGTCTTTTGCCTAACTTAGGCAAGTTCTATAGTATGTTAGCCCCTAACATGTTTTAAATCTTCAGAAAGATTTTTATTTTTCTCATGTCCATATACTTTAAATGCAACAGTTTTAATAGTTAGGCTCCATTAATTTTTGCATTTAGATACTTTAAGTAATCATGCTTTTAAGGAAAAAAGAAAATAAACACAAGTTTGCCAATGGAAGGGAGAGGCCACATTTTTCTAACGCAGTCTGTGATGTTTTTTCTCTCTTCGAAGGGTACTTTGAAGATGTCTACACTAACTTGTATGCTCTGGCCTGTTACTTCAGTAATCCTGAAGACAAGTGGGTGAGGAACCACTTCTATGAACGCTGTTTTAATGTTGCACAGCTGATCAAAGTCGACGGTGGACGGCGAGAAGCCGAGGCGCACGCTCACATGGGGCTGCTGCATGAGGAAGAGGGTGAGTAGATGCTGGCCGGGGGCTTTAGGGGGTGTAGAGGCAGGACTGGACACAGTGCAGGTTCTCTGATCCCATGCAGGCAGGGTAAAGGGGGAGTCAGAGTCCTCAGTAGTTTTGCAGGTTTATTATTGGGGTTCACCAGGCATATGGCAGGCAGGGGTGCTGGCTGCCAGCCTCCCAGCCCCCAGCAAGTCTTCACTCTATCTGGACTCTCTGTCGTTCGTTCTGCTGCTTCTCGGCTTCTGCTTCGGCTTCGGCTTCGGCTTCTACTGCTGCTGCTGCTGCTGCTACTGCTGCTGCTGCTGGCGTCCCCGTGACGCCGCCCTTAAAAGCAGTCTTAACTCAGCTGAATCCCATCTACCTATGCCCACACCCTGTTCCAGGTGCCCGCCATCAGGCATGCATTCAGAACAAGGATCCATCATCTATCCTGATGGCGGAAGGGCAGAAAAGCCTGATATTTTCTTTACCCTACAGGGGGCCCGGAATCCGGGGACCAGAAAGTTATGGGCGGTCTAGAAAAAGACCTGACACTGTTGTAGAAGAATGTAAATTATTGAGTTTAAACAGCAAAGGGGTGTGACTTACGGACCCAACCGCAGTATTGTACACAGAGGTCCTCCACCCAGCGCTCAGCCTGGCTCCCTGGGTCAGTCTCAGAAACAACCTCCGCAGCACCCTGCATGTCCCAGGGGCTACATGCTTGCCATGTGGGGTCCCCCCACCCTCTTCAAGCCCTCCTTGTTCTCATTTTTACTTGATTTCCCAAGTTTGGAAATGTCAGGGGCGAGGGAACGCACGCTTCATTATCTTAGCACCCGTCTATAAAAATTTTTAATAATCTCTATAACTGAGATATCGCCCCAATGATCTCTGAAGGAAATCTCCCTTTAAATATAACTTCATTCTCAATATTGTTATCTGGAGACAGGCGGGAATCTGAAACAACAACAAAAAATCGCTGAACACATGTTTTGTATGATGGTTTAATACAGATTGCAAATAAAATTCAATAATTACATTTATTGAATTTAAATTAATTGAAATCTCAGTTACTTTGGGGGGTGAAGACACGGGATTACCTCCTCCTGCTACTCTCAGCTCACGAGCTGCAGGACAAAGCCAGTAACCCCTGAAGCAAGATGGGGCTGCAGTGTGCACTGGGCGCAGGGTGCATCACAGGGAGGCCTGGTGCCAACTCTGAGTGAAGATTTGCTGCGGGTGCTTGTCGGTCATGACCCCTCCGTGCCTGCTACCCCGGGTACAGTCTGAAGATGCTTCACCTGTAGAAAGACTCCCCACCCTAAAGCAACAAGTCACCTGGACTGTGGTTAACTCTGTCCGGGGGCTGTGAGGGAAGCTCTGATCACGTGGCTGAGCTGTGACTCCATTGTGCTGAGGTGCCCATTCCTGGGCCAGCATTTTTGGTTGGCTGTGGCACCAGCCCCTTCCCTGACATGATCAGGGGAAATGGACTTCAGGTGTTGCAGGTGCAGCTCGGCTGGAGGTCAACAAGGTTAACCTCATCAGTGTTCATGGTGGATAAAATCACAAGCACCTTTACGGGGTACCTCCTTCCATGGATGTAGGATCTGGGTCCAACCCTTGTTTTGACCAGATTAGTGAACTTAGCACTGTGACTAGCTGGTATCCATGGGAGCCTTGCAGGAGGTCAGTTTCTTTTCTGGGGGGTCTGACCTGGAGGGATTACATCTTCCCCTACTAGCTGCTCTACCCATTTTTAGTGATCATGGGAAGATATCCTCATTAGTCTGTTTTCCATGCATTTCATGAGAGTGCCCCAGCTTTCCTCTCAGTGCCAGATCCACTCCATCTTGTCAGCTCCTTTCAGTAACAGAAACAAAGAAATAAGCAAGGAGTTCTATCATTGAAGGCCTTAACCCCTCAGATATCCCACTGCTTTCAAGGCAAGTTTCTAATGGTCGCTAACTGAAGATCATCCACACCACCAGTCTTGGTTTCCCCTGACTTGCTTCCAGAAGACATGGTAGGGAACTGGATTGATGCCCACTAGCTAGACAGCTGTCATCTAACAAGGTCTTGGTCAGCAGCCCCAGGCCTGCGGGAGCAGCATGTCTCTGGGAGAACTTGCAGAGGCCAGAGCAGCAGAAGTGGTGCCTGTGTTTGGGGCAGTGTCCTCACACTCTGGGTGTGACGGGCACCAGACTCGATGGCGACATGGAGTGGCAGAGCCGTGAGGCAAGTTCTGTCCTCCCAGCTTAGCATGCAAGTCTGGATGTAGGGTCGGCCCCTCCCCCCTATAACTGGCATCTGGGGGCCGGGGGGGCCGGGACAGGCCTGAGGTCTCTGCTGTGTGCTTGCAGCTGTGTAATATGACATGCAAACAGCAAGACTTGCCACATAGGCATTTATGGTTTGGGGAACAGCAGTCTCTCCCCTGCCAAGAGAGAAGGACTGGGATCCAAGTCTAATCAACATGAAAAATAAAAAAACCCAAAACCCAACCCAGCCAATATCAATATTAAAAAAGCACAAAACACTAAAGCACTAAAGATTTGCCACTTTTCATTGTAATTTTATAACAAATGTTTATTGTGTTCCGTGTATGTGCAAGACACTGGGCTGAGTGCTGGGAATACATGTCGAGAAAAGGTATTGATCGTCCCTTGTTCCAGAGCCTTAGATTTTAATGGAAGAGGCCGGTCACTACTCTGATAATTACAGTAATGTGGGCGAGCGTGCTGGTAGGAGAGGCTCAGGTGCGCCAGGTTCAAATGTGGAGGAATCAGAGTTGTTGAAGATGGCTTGTAATGCTTGTGCAATTAAGCACGTCTTTTATATTGCTGGTGATAGGACAAATTAACCCGACATTTCTAGCACACAATTCAGGAATGTGTTTCAAGAGTTTAAAAATTTTCTGAATCCTTTAACCCTGCTATTCTACTAAGATATAATCAGATATGAAAACAAAAAATTACATAAAGACTACTAAGCCTTGCTGTATATAATAATTGTAAGAAAAAGAGACACAATACAAATGCCCTACAATAGGCTCATCATTATTATAATTACATAGGATGAACTCTTATCCGGCCATTCAAAATGCTGTTTTCCAATAACTAGAATGATGAGGTACCATTTATTGTATTGTAAAATTGATATAACCTCTCTGGAAAACAGTATGAAGATTCCTCAAAAAAATGAAGAATTAAACTACCATATGACCCAGCAATTCCACTTCCTTTATTTATTCAAAGGATATGAAAATGCTAACTTGAAAACGTGTGCGACCCCTGTGTTTGGTGCAACCCTATTCACAGTAGCCAAGACACAGAAATAACCCGTGTGTCCACTGACAGAGAGCAGCTGCTACCAGTATATGCACTCAATAAATACTCTTTGGCTACCTAAAAAGAAGAAATCTTGCCTTTTGCAGCAACACAGATGGAACTTGAGATGTTGGGGAAGCGGGTTTAGTCTGAAAGTAAAAGGAAATTACCAAATGGTTTCACTCGTGGAATAAGGGTAGTTAACACAACTCAACAAAAATGGCTCTTAGGCTCTGACAACAAAATGTGGTCACCAGAGAGGTAGAGGAATGGGGTTGGGAGGAATAGGTTGAGGGGGTTCAGTTTTATAGTGGTGAATGATACCAGATCTTTGGTATTGGGTACAGTTGTGTGGAATAGACATTTATCAAGGTGTCAAACTCTGCCCCAGAATCTTAGAAAATTTTGTAAACCAATGGTGAAATCAATCAAGAAAGTAAAAAAAGAGGGCCTTTCTGGTGGCGCAGGTGTTGGAGCGCAGCGCTGTGAAGCTGTCTGTAGCCTCTGCAGCGCCGGTTCAATCCCTGCTGGCCGCGGAGATACCCACATGGCGCGGCAGACCTCTCCTGTCTCACCCGCTGCTCCCCCAAGCAGTGTATTTCATCAGTCTGCCTGTTCTGTTCCCCACTCTGTCTCTGGTGAATCCTCTCACCCCCCTACCCCCGCACCTCTGGCCTGTACCCCAGTTCTTGTATGCATAAATAAATAAATCTTAAAAAAAAAAAAGAAAGTAAAAGAAGAAAGAAAGTTTATTTCTGGCCAGTAGGCTGGGAGCTGGCACTTCTGGGCTGAAACTGGAGGAGCAGAGGTTAGTTCCCTGCTAGCCCTGTTTTTGCCATGGCACCTTGGAGGACTTACATGGAGATGGGAAAACCACGAAAGAGAAACAACCTGGACCCCAGAATGAGCATTTGGAGGGAGCTGTCCCGGAAAGTCATCCAGCCCTCAGAGGACTGCTTGTTGCAAGATGACTTTGTCTTAGCCCCTGGGATTTCGGGGACTATTGATAACAACAGTGCAGCCTTGTCTAACTCTGATCTGCTGGGAATGAGGGATTTCAGGAATTCTGTGAGTGGATTGTGGCAATTTCTTTGAAAATTTCACACCATGTTCTAAAGCTTCCCTTTGGAACATGGTCTCTGATGTCTTTGTACTTCTCCCAAGATTTCCATTTTAATGTTGTAAAGACTAAGTTCCTCAGTTCAATAATACCACTTAGTCTTCCAAATATTCCTTTTCTATTTTTAACAGAAAAAAAAATAGATGAAATTTACTGTTTCCATTATGTTTCTGTATTGTTTATCTAGAATAGGCATGTGCCATATTTATGATCCCAAACTGAAAGTATACAACTTTTTAAAAATATATATATATTTATTTATTTATTTATACAAGCACTGGGTACAGTCAGAAGCATGGGAGGGTGAGAGAATTCACTAGAGCCAGAGTGGGGAACAGAACAGGCAGACTGACGAAGTACACTGCTGAGGGGAGCAGTGGGTGCAGCAGGAGAGGTCTGTGTGCCATGTGGGACCCTCGCTGGCGGCCGGGGATCAAACCCACACTTCAGCCTTGCAGCCCAGCGCTCAACCACTGCACCACCAGGGGAGGCCCAAAAGTATACAACTTTTTAAAGCTGGCTGATAGGATGACACTATCCCAAGTTGAAGATGGTTTTTTGCCGGTTGT